CGGCCCTCCTACAGTCTTAACTCCTTTGGGATGCTGGAAGGGCTTAGCCCTGAAATGTTCCCAAGAAAAAAGTAAAATCAACTCACTCCTGGGTCATCCCCAATCTCCAAAACAGCTTCTTAGTTGAGCATCACTCTGTCCTGAGGGCTAAGTAGCTGCCTTAGCTATTGGGCCTGTTTCTCCACCCTCAAATCTTCCTTCACAAAGAGAGACAGAGCTCAATCCTGTTTTCTCCCCAATCAGCCCTGAACTGAGCCAGATTCTCTCCTTTTATTCCACCTCCAGGCTCAGCATCAGTTGCAGGCATAGCAGGACAGAGCTAGCAGGGTCCACAGAGTCTCTTTAGCTTCTTCTCTGCTGGTATGGGGCCTCTCTGTTTCATCACAATGACCCTATGTCCTGCTGATCCATCAGCTACCAAAATGGCCCTTTGAGACTGTTGGCAGCAACTGCATCTGAGAGCAGCTTTCAAGTTAAGCCAGAGACTGGACAAGAGACTTGTTCCGCCATGATCCCTCTGAAATGAGCTTTGTATACTCCTCTAATGCTCTGTTTTATGGGGATCTCAACTATACTCAAGGATTAGGGCCATTATTATACTAGTGGTATCTGTATTACCATAGCACCGAGGAGATTTCTCCTTTATCTCCTTTTCCTGTTAAATAGCACTTGCCTGGTTCTATCAGCAAAGGACATATTCTCAGTATCATGAAGGGAATAAAGAAAAAACCCATTGCTGGCCTTTCCCAAGTCCACACAGGCCATTGCAAAATACTCCATTCCATCCCCAACGTTGACCAGGCATGTGTAACTGTAAGTGCTCACAGAGCTGCACAGCTAGCGTTGCTGAAATACTCTCCGGAGGCTGCAAATTCCACTGGCTAAGCACAGGTGCAGAAGAAGCACACAAATTCCTAATCTCACAGCATTGCGCACACGCGTGTGTGCACACGCACAACCCCAGCTGCTCCACTTACTGCTGTCTCGCTGAGATGGGGTGAGGAATGGGGCAGGGATCCACTAACCTGCTGGCTCTATAGAGTGTTTTGGAGATTTGATGGAAGAGCTGCTTTTCCTACTGTACTTTTTTCCCTTTTTACCCTACATGTGTCTTCACTCTCCTTCCCATTGGGCAGTGGGAGAGAAGTCAAAATACGAATGTAAAAAGCAGAGACCCAAGGTCAGGAAGCCCACTGGCCCATAAGATAAAGAGGAGACCTCTGGTGAGAACTGCCTTCCTCAGGACTGTGGGTAGGGGTTGCTCCCCAAAGACTTTATTCCTCAGGCAGGTAGAGTAAGGGGATTCCCCAGGCAGAGAAACAAGAGGGTTAGAGAAAGAGGATTAGCCACTCAGATTCAGTAGCGCTGGAACATTTTTAATAGTGGGGGTGCTGAAAGCCAGCCCCCTTACCCCTGTCTATCATTCCCCCAGAGCTGAGGCTGGGAGCAAAGCCCCGGGTGCAGGATCAGCAGCCAAGCCCTGGGCATGCAGGGCAGCAGCGGGGACACCAGGTGCTCTGGGCTGGCAGCCAGGACCCCAGGCAAGTGAGAGTGGGGAGTCCGGGGGTGCTGCAGCACCCCCCCATACCCCTAGTTCCCATACCTATGCTCAGATTCCCATCACAACATGCTGGGATAGAGAAGATTGCTTTCCCTTGCCATGGATCCCCATCATCCTAGTAGTAAGAAGTGGGGAAGGGGACGGCTTCCCAGGTACAATGTCTCCCAGGCTAAGGGAAGGAAAGGGGAATCTAGTGACTCTGGCTGGGTTAAAAGAGTGCCCACCTAAGCTGTCCATCCTTTCTCCCCCTGTCTCATGCCCCATCTCGCCTCTGTGCTCTGCTTTCACATATTTTCTCTCACTTTGTTTGCAGACACAGAACCTACTAATACATTCACAAGAGAGTCTTCAGAGGAGATGTTGCCTTCCCTTTCTCCAACCTATAAAGCGGGATCAGTCAGAAAACTGAAGTCAAATCACCCCAGCCCTGCCTTTGATAAACAGGGACCTGGCAAATTCTGCCCATTGAGGGTAGGCTAGAGACAGAGCTCAGTATAAACACAATGGGGACAGAGCACAGGCCAGCCCATCACAACCGAAGCTAACAGGACAGGATGAGGATCACAGACCACAGATGAATCATCCTCTGCATCTGAAGTCTTCAAAGGTAAATTATTGTAGGGAGGGCCTGAGTCCTGGAAGATATGGATGCAGAGATCCATCACCAGAAGGACTGTGTGATCAGGAGCCTGAAAGAATTTTCAGGCTGACGGAGTTGTGGCTTCAAGCAGTAGGAGGAGCCAAAGGACTCAAAAACATGAAAGACTCAAAAACATGGTGTGGAGTTTGGAGATTTGTGGGTCACAGGGCCTGGGGAGCCTGAATGCATTGAGAGGCTGGGTCGGGGCCTTGGTGGAGAAATGTTCTCATCACTCCCTCCAATCATGCTGTGAGGCTTCTTTGCTTACCAGGTCACCTCTTCACCTCCTTCCCTGAGGCAACAGGACTAGGGGGGCTGAAGGAACTTGGAGAGAGTACTTTGGAACAAGAAGGAGTCCGTCAGTGCCTCATTAGAAACAGGAACATCAAGGGGGTGCTTCACTGCCTCATATTAGGGCCAGCTACACAGAATTCAGAAATGGAACACCCTGCAGAATCTGACACAGAATCAAGACCACAGAAAGTGGGCCAGACCCAGGGCCTCAGTTTTAAACCTCCACTAATTTTTTCTTATGTTTCCAGTTTTTTTAGTCCAGACCTGATTTCTCCCATCCAGATTGGGTGATAAATTACTCTGGTAAGATGGTTCAAATTTCCCAGGTATGTTTGTCATCCCTATGAACTACACAACAGAGTGAACTTGCTAGGCATGTATTTTTTCCAATCAAATGTGTAGACATGGTGGGTTCATTAAAAAATCCAAAATACTATGATGTTGTAATTCAGAGCTGGACTTTATACTTCAAGAACAATCTTAAGACATCACTGAAGAAATACAAGAACTGTAGCTAATGAAAAATGCAAATGCAGTTCATTAAATTTTAGAATTAAGCCTTACACCGAATAATATCCCGTAGCTGTATTCTGCAAATTTGCCCAGGCTTTACAATTTGCTTATAATGGCAATGAAGAAAAAATTATTTTTAATTGTAATACCTTTGGCTAGAAGTGCAAAGCAAGTTATCAACTGCCTTGTAAAGGCATAAATAACCTCAAGCTTGTTGTAAATAATTGTTGTAAATCATGAAAGTGTAAATTAATTTTTGTGAGTAATCCATGTAATTGTTCATGAATTAACTTACCAAAGCAGCGGTATTTAAGTACAGGAGCAGAGAATCTAAGGCTATGTCTACATTTACGATGGCATGTAAAGTACCTACACTGTATGCTCCTCTAGTGTGGGTATAAATAGCAGTATTGGTGAGGCATTGCTTAGGCGAGTAGCGTAAAGACACACCAGTACCTTAGGATATGTACCCAACATGGCTCTCTACACACCCAAGCAGTGCCTCCCGTGTTTACACTGCTGTTTTGAGCAGTGTAATACACCACTGCCTCCCTGCTGCCAAACCTTTCTCCACCACAGGCAAAGACTCTGGCAGCGGGAAGGCAGCAGGCAAAAGCTCCAACAGTGCCGAGCTGCTGAAGCCTTTCCCTGCTGTCTCTCCAGTTCCAGAGCCTTTCACTGCCACATGTAGTTACATACCGCAATGTGGACACAGCATGCTTTTCACTGCAGCATGTAGCTACATGTACCCTACACACCACTGCAAGTGTAAACAAGGCCTAAGTGATTATGCCATATAACCCACCACACTTATCGGCCAGAACCTCAGCTGGTGTCAGTTGGAATACTACATTGGTTTCATCGCAGCTAAGCTGATTTACACCAGCTGAGGATGTGGTCCATAGTTTTGCCTGCTGTTTCTTGAAAAATGGGGACAAAGTATCCAGAGGAGGGGAACTGTAATATACAATCACATTTTGGGGGGTGGGGAGAATAATGCTTTATACTTTTCTGAATTCAAGCATTGCACCAAAGTATACACTAAAAACAAAACAAAGACAAAGACCGTTCTTGATCAGTTTTTAGGTTTGTCAAGGTTCCTTCCCCACTCTGAACTCTAGGGTACAGATGTGGGGACCTGCATGAAAGACCCCCTAAGATTATTCTTACCAGCTTAGGTTAAAACTGCCCCAAGGTACAAACTTTGCCTTGTCCTTGAACAGTATACTGCCACCACCAAGCATTTTAAACAAAGAACAGGGAAAGAGACCACTTGGAGACCTCTCCCCCTCAAAATATCCCCTCAAGTCCTACACCCCCTTTCCTGGGGAAGGCTTGATAATAATCCTCACCAATTTGTACAGGTGAACACAGACCCAAACCTGTGGATCTTAAGAACAATGAAAAATCAATTAGGTTCCTAAAAGAAGAATTTTAATTAAAGAAAAGGTAAAAGAATCACCTCTGCAAAATCAGGATGGTAAATACCTTACAGGGTAATCAGATTCAAAATATAGAGAATACCTCTAGGCAAAATCTTAAATTACGAAAAGACACAAAAACAAGAATATACATTCCCTCCAGCACAGCTTATTTTACCAGCCATTAAACAAAAGGAAATCTAATGCATTTTCTAGCTAGATTACTTACTAACTTAACAGGAGTTGGAAGGCTGCATCTGTTTCCCGGCAAAGCAACACACAAACAGATAAACCCTTTGTTCTCCCCCCCTCCAGATTTGAAAGTATCTTGTCCCCTCATTGGTCATTTTGGGTCAGGTGCCAGCGAGGTTACCTTAGCTTCTTAACCCTTTACAGATGAAAGGGTTTTGCCTCTGGCCAGGAGGGATTTTATAGCACTGTATACAGAAAGGTGGTTATCCTTCCCTTTATATTTATGACAAGGTTTTTAAATATAAACTCCTTTTATTGATCCATTACAATGACAATGTTAAATCATGAGTGACTTGGTATCAAAGGACCATATTCTTACCTCAGTCAGCTTGTGGAACTCCTACTGACATCTGTGGAGTCTGTCCTTGTGTAGAGGGAAAGAATTGTCCCTCCATTTTTGGTGTATTGCACCTTTAAACAAAGACTCTCTCTCCCTCCTCAAGAAGCAGGTATGAGGCAGTTGCCATATTGTGTTTCACTTTACAGGTGGAATATCAAGGGAATCACTGTGCTTGCTCATTCTCTCTCTGGGTTTTATAGTCAATCTTTTTTGGCTTCATAACTGAAATGAAAGTAATCTACATTGAAGAAGTGAGTAACCTTTCCTTTTCATAGATAGTATCAGGGGGTATTTATGCAAAGGTGAATGGGAGACAATAATCCTACTGTAAGTGTAACTGTATTTGTAGTTATTTGTGAAAGATAGAAGCACTGATTCCAGGTCAAATTCTGTTTTCATTTACACTAGTGTGAATCCATTACATCAACTTGCATAAGTAATACCAGAGTATGCCCTTCTGAATTCATCCTTAATTGAAGTGAAGTTAATGGATTTGCACTGGGCAGAATTTATCCCACCTTGTTTAGTTATCTTTAACATATAGATTTGTGTGTGTATGTATGTGTATACACAAAAAGTGTGTGTGTATATACATACACAGTGATTCCCTCAATACACACATACACACACACAACATGCATGTCCAGTAACACAAATTCTTTACATCAGAATAATGATTATGGGTGAGACATTTTCTCTGATGTACATCCTATATGCTCTGAATATGAGATTTTCCTCTCAGTCATGCTGGAGAAATTAACCTGATGGAAGTCAATGCCTTGCACCAATGTAACTGGAGGATGTAATAAGGATATACAAGTCAATACAGAATTTGATCCCTTAAGGCACTATAACATTGTAAATTAGGCAATTGCCATAAACTTGACTTTCTAAAGATCTGTTGTGCATTTTCTATTTTTCAATCATTTAACCTTATTTATTAGCTTTATGCTTCAACTGAGAGTTTTAAAGTTTCATTTGTCATCTTTGCCTGACACATAAAGAGAAAAACAAAATAGCTTTTTTGTTCATAAAAAGTACACAGTGCCAGAAATCAGACAGGGAGCTATGATTTAATTTGCATTCAATCTGTGAAAGAAAAGATTTGACAAAAATTAATGGGATGAATTGTAAAACTATTTTATCATTGTAATGCATCTTACAGACACTCTGAGGACTACAGAATTTTTTTGGGACCAATCAGAATCAAAGAAGTTTAGATACCGCTGTACGAATAGTTGCCTGCCTACCCACAAACAAATTCTGTGGTCTTTAATTGAGAAAAAGTCTCGATGTCAAATAATTAAGCATCTGTCCTTGTAATGAATTGTGATGACTCGCCCTTTGTTGAATAAATATCTTTGCAGCCTCTCATTTCATTCAGTACTGGAACCACTTACACACCTCTTTCACTCTAATTCTTCTTCTTCTTCATCCTCACCATTTTAATGTATACTGTTCCTTAAATGTATTATGCTTAATATTGCATGGATTCTAAAGCACACAAACAAACCAGAGCAAAGTGGCCGGCATATCAGCAGACAATTGCCGTGCAGCAGTGGGGCAAGACCTGGGGAAACAAGAAACTTTTTGGCAACCAGGCCACCAGGAAAATCCGTATTCTAACAAAAATTACTATAGCATCTTTAACATCCATGAATAGCTGGCAAGTTCAATTATCTGAAACACCTCTGCACCATCAACTGCATAGAAGTGAATTTATTTATTTAGAAGGTGAAAAGGGATGAGTCAGCCCTCCTGGAAGTCAAACCTGTGAATTCAGGGAATCTATGTATTTCAGAAATGTTCTTAAACAACTAAATAAGCCTCTCTAATTTCCGGTAAGCATGCATCAATCTAATTATCCTATTCTACTGCGGGGGTGGGGGAGGGTAATTATTTTTAACCATTTTAAATATCTTTGGAACTATTAGATAAAACATTAACTTCTTTAAAAAACATATCAGATGTACAAAGTTACCTTAAGTGGAATACATATTGAACAAATAAATTACATTTTCATCAGCTCATGTAGAGTTGGATCCAATGTTCACTGAAATCAGTGAAAGACTTTCCACCAATTTTAATGAATGTTGGATTAGGTCCACAGTGCAAACATCTGATTTTTGCCAAAACATTTAGAGTGAGGAAGATCAAAGCAGTCCTCATAAAACCTCATCCCTTTTTGATGTGTTTTATTTTCCATAAGCACAGAAACACATCTAGATAAACCAGGAACCCAGTCAAAGTAATGGAAAACTCTCAACTAGTCTTGATCAAATCACTTTTCCTACATGTTTAATTTAAAGACCAGAGTGGTGCTGGTCACAAGGCCACTATACAACTAGAAATATGAGGCTGAAAGAACTGAAACATATGCACTTTCCCCAATGTATCACAGTTACAGAAACATGACAAATGACTTTTTACTGACCCACTGTGAAACCTCAGTGCTCAATATTGTTTAAATGTTTCATTTCTTTTCTGTAGGGGGGTGGCCTAGCTATTTCATTATTGGGGGGAGCAAATGAAAAACTCATGGGGAGAAAAAGATAAATGAAAGGTAAAGGATTTCCCAGAGAGAATAGAAATACAATCTGATGTAAAGAACCATCTGTCTCACTTGAACAGAAACCTCAAATAAAATGTTTCTAATGCTAAGTCCTCCTGCTGCTACTGATTCTGCAGTTCCAAAAAGTGCTGATTGAAGCACAGTAAAAATGTTTAAATTTTAAAAACCATTTCAAAAGGTTTTCGGATCAAGGGAACCCAAAGCCTCTTTTCAAACTTGGCCACCTCAGACAGGTGCCCAAATGCCCATTAGATATTTAGATGGGGAGCTGAGTAGCCACAATCTAGGGTGCTGGGCATCTAATCTGGGCTACCAATTTAGACGGCAGAGTTTTTTGTTTCATAGTCTCTCCCCCAACCAAGCATGAATTCTCCTTGCAATGATCTAATTTTCCTAGTGCACAAATGACTGCGGAAAAGGACCTAGGGGTGACAGTGGACGAGAAGCTGGATATGAGTCAGCAGTGTGCCCTTGTTGCCAAGAAGGCCAATGGCATTTTGGGATGTATAAGTAGGGGCATAGTGAGCAGATCGAGGGACGTGATCGTTCCCCTCTATTCGACATTGGTGAGGCCTCATCTGGAGTACTGTGTCCAGTTTTGGGCCCCACACTACAAGAAGGATGTGTATAAATTGGAGAGAGTCCAGCGAAGGGCAACAAAAATGATTAGGGGTCTAGAACACATGACTTTTGAGGAGAGGCTGAGGGAGCTGGGATTGTTTAGCCTGCAGAAGAGAAGAATGAGGGGGGATTTGATAGCTGCTTTCAACTACCTGAAAGGGGGTTCCAAAGAGGATGGCTCTAGACTGTTCTCAATGGTAGCAGATGACAGAACGAGGAGTAATGGTCTCAAGTTGCAGTGGGGGAGGTTTAGATTGGATATTAGGAAAAACTTTTTCACTAAGAGGGTGGTGAAACACTGGAATGCGTTACCTAGGGAGGTGGTAGAATCTCCTTCCTTAGAGGTTTTTAAGGTCAGGCTTGACAAAGCCCTGGCTGGGATGATTTAACTGGGAATTGGTCCTGCTTCGAGCAGGGGGTTGGACTAGATGACCTTCAGGGGTCCCTTCCAACCCTGATATTCTATGATTCTATGATTCTATGACCACTGTCCACCCTGTAATATCAGCAGGATTGAAGGGGTTTAAAAATCACCTTGAGTTGAACAGACTTTTTAACCCCCCCAAAACTATAAAAGAAATGAGAATGCTTTAAAGCCCAGGAAGTGGTCTTTCTTAGCTCAGCTGTCTAGGACCATAGTATGCCTGAATAACTACAAAAATATCTTTTCCCCCCATTTGATGCTTCTATGGTACACTGCGAACCTAAATGGAACGGACTTTTTTTTTAAAATATTCTGTAACCTATAAGTAATTAGATGGTTGGACAGATGAACTGAGCACCCAAAATTGATTGTAAAGTTTTGGAGCTTGGCCTGTGAAGAACACTGGAAAGGAATACAGATCAGTGTTTCTAGTTCTCCATTTACTCATGAGCTAGACAAACTTTCAATCCTTGGGTAGGGACCATCTTGTTCAGTAGTGGGCCTGTTCATCTGTGTGGCTCCTCTGGGTTCCTGTACATCCTAGCAATGCTGCTTCTACAGGAACCGTTGGCAATATCTATTCTAGCCTATATATGTCCTTATATCACCCTCATCACCATAGTATCTGAGTACCTTCCAATAGTGCATTAAGTGACATTACTAACATCTGTCACATGTGGCTTGTTCTCATGCTCGCCCCGCAGGAAGAAGTATGGGGGAAAATAATCGTACCAAAACAAAACTTCCTCCTCTCAACTCATGCAGTATTAGCCACAGAAAGGTTAGAGCAAGACTTAATGCTGTTTCAAGCTGTGTTAACTCCTACTTGGATTTCCATACGGATATCTGCAAAATCAGTGGAGGATGGTACTCTGGAGAGTGGATGAAAGGTGCCATGGAAGTGACATTGCTTCCTCTACCATGCCCTCAAATACATAACTCCCAGATTTTGTCTTTGATAGCCAGAAAAGGGATAGTTTGGCCTCTCAAAGAGAGTCCTGAATTCCTTAAAGACCTAGAATTGTGATGTGAGCCTCTTAAAAAAAAAAGTGTGTGAGCACTTATGTGAGAAAGAAGAACATGAACAATTACACAGCTCATAGCCAGTTTGTATACTCTATTTATATATCCACTTGGGAGGTATTGGGGAGGGTCAGCAGTTTCAGGATGTAAAATAATAGCTTTGGCATAAATTCAGTGTTCTACTGTGACTCAGGCCATGTCTAAACTACAAAAGTACTCCGATTTTACAGAAGTCGATTTTTTGGGAACAGATTGTATAAAGTCGAGTGCATGCATCCACACTAAGCACATTAATTTGGCGGTGTGCATCCAGAGTACCGTGGCAAACATCGACATTCTGAGCGGTGCACTATGGGTAGCTATCCCAAAGTTCCCGCAGTCACCACTGCCCATTGGAATTCTGGGCTGAGCTCCCAATGCCTGATGGGGCCAAAAATTTGTTGCGGGTGGTTATGGGTAAATGTCGTCAGTCCCTCCATGAAAGCAACAGCAGAAAATCATTTTGCACCCTTTTCCCTGGATTCCCCGAGCAGACGCCATAGCACGGCAAGCATGGAGCCCATTCAGCTCACTGCAGTAGTTATGACCATTGTAAACACCTCACGCATTATCGTGCAGTTCATGCAGAACCAGCACCTGAAAAACCAGGCGAGGAGTCAACGGCAGCGCGGTGATGAGGACATGAACACAGATTTCTCTAAAACCACGGTCACCAGCAATTTGGAGATCATGGTGTTACTGGGGCAGGCTTATGCCATGGAATGCCGATTCTGGGCCCGGGAAACAAGCACAGAGTGGTGGGACCGCATAGTGTTGCAGGTTTGGGATGCTTCCCAGTGGCTCCGAAACTTTCGCATGCATAAGGGCACTTTCATGGAACTTTGTGACTTGCTTTCCCCTGCCCTGAAGCGCAAGAATACAAAGATGAGAGCATTCCTCACAGTTCAAAAGCGAGTGGAAATAGCCCTGTGGAAGCTTGCAATGCCAGACAGCTACCGGTCAGTCAGTAATCAATTTGGAGTGGGCAAATCTACTGTGGGGGTTGCTGTGATGCAAGTAGCCAACACAATCATTTTGCTGTTGCTATCAAAGGTGGTGACTTGGGAAATGCGCAGGTCATTCTAGATGGCTTTGCTGCAATGGGACTCCCTAACTGTGGTGGAGCTATAGACGGAACGCATATCCCTATCTTGGGACCGGACCACCAGGGAAGCCAGTACATAAACCTCAAGGGGTACTTTTCAATGGTACTGCAAGCACTGATGGATCACAAGGGACTTTTCACCAACATCAACGTGGGGTGGCTGGGAAAGGTTCATGACGCTCGCGTCTTCAGGAACTCTGATCTGTTTAAATGGCTGCAGGAAGGGATTTACTTCCCAGACCAGAAAATAACTGTTGGGAATGTTGAAATGCCTGTAGTTATCCTTGGGGACCCAGCCTATCCCTTAATGCCCTGGCTCATGAAGCCGTACACAGGCACCCTGGACAGTACTAAGGAGCTGTTCAACTATAAGCTGAGCAAGTGCAGAATAGTGGTAGAGTGTGCATTTGGACGCTTAAAGGTTTGCTGGCGCAGTTTACTGACTCGCTCAGACCTCAGCAAAACCAATATTCCCATTGTTATTGCTGCTTGCTGTGTGCTCCACAATCTCTGTGAGAGTAAGGGAGAGATGTTTATGGCGGGGTGGGAGGTTGAGGCAAATCACCTGGCCACTGAATACACACAGCCAGACACCAGGGCGGTTAGAAGTGCCCAGCAGGAAGTGCTGCGCATCAGAGAAGCTTTGAAAACCAGTTTCATGACTGGCCAGGGTACTGGGTGACAGTTCTGTTTGTTTCTCCTTGATGAAGACCCGCCCCCTTGGTTGCCTCTAAATTCCCTGTAAGCCATTCACCTCCCCCCTTCGATCACAGCTTGCTTGCAAAGGAAATAAAGTCACTATCGTTTAAAAAACATGTATTCTTTATTAATTGATTATAAAAATAGGGCGATAACTCACAAGTTAGCCCGGATGAGGTGTGGGAGGAGGGTAGGAGAGAAGGAAAAGGCCACTTCAAAACTTGTTGAATGACAACCTTCTGTTGCTTGGGCTCTCCACTGGGGTGGAGTGGTTGGGTGCCCGGAGCCTCCCCCTCCCTGCCCCACATTCTTGGGCATCTGGGTGAGGAGGCTATGGAACTTGGGGAGGAGGGAGGGTGGTTAAACAGGGGCTGCAGCGGCAGTCTGTGATCCTGCTGCCATTCATGAACCTCCACCAGATGCCAGAGCACATCCGTTTGATCCTGCAGTAGCCCCAGCATTGCATCATGCCTCCTCTGATCTTCCTGCCGCCACCTCTCCTCACGTTCATCGGCCACTTTCCTGTACTCTGCTATTGTGTCCCTCCACACATTCTGCTGAGCTCTGTCAGTGCTGGACAACTACATGAGTTCAGAGATCATTTCATCGCGCGTGTGTTTTTTTCACCGCCTTATCTGAGATAGCCTTTGCGATGGAGGAGGGAGGCTTGAAAGATTTGCAGCTGCTGGAGGAAAAAAAGGGAGTTAAGTATTTAAAAAGATTCATTTTACAGAACAATGGCTATTCTCTTTCATGGTGAACGACACTATTCACATTACCTAGCACATATGATTTTGGTACAAGGTCTCATTTTGCATCTTACATTGAGTGCCTGCAGCTTTGGTATTAGAGATCACACACGCAGTGCCGGGCAACAGAATTCGGCTTGCAGGCAGCCATGGTAAGCCATAGTCTTTTGGCTTCTGCAACCTTCATAACAGCAGCACCCTCGTCCCCCATACCAAGCAAAGCACGTTGAGTTGGCCATTTAGTGCTGTGGTTTTCCTGTTAACGTGCAGCAGCAGAAACCAAACTAACCCCCCCTCGCCCATCCAATTCTCTGGGATGATTGCTTTACCCCTCACCCCACTGCGTGGTTGGTATCAGGGAAGATCCCTGCTAGCCAAACGTGAACAGCTCAGTGCCAAAGCCACACGGTAGGTGGGGGGGCAAACTGCGGGGAGGATTTCTTTTCAGCCACAGGCAAACAGCCCTGTAGGAACGGGCACCTCTGAATATCCCCTTAATTAAATTCCCCTATTTCAACCAGGTTACCATGAATGATATCACTCTCCTGAGGATAGCACAGAGAGATAAAGAACGGATGTTGCTTGAATGCCAGCAAACACCGAGACCATACACTGCCAGGATTTGTCATGCAATGATATCAGATTACTTGCTATTAGCATGGCGTGGTAAAGTGTCCTACCATGGAGGACGGAATAAGGCTGCTCTACTCAGAAACCTTCTGCAAAGGCTTTTAGAATACCTCCAGGAGAGCTTCATGGAGATGTCCCTGGAGGATTTCCGCTCCATCCCCAGACACATAACAGACTTTTCCAGTAGCAATACTGGCCATGAATGCATCCCAAGTCCTCAGGGCTACTTAATCATTAAAAATGCTTGTTTTTATAATATGTATTTAAAAAGATACACTCACAAGAGCACCCTTCTTCTGCTTCGTTGGGTTGGGAGGGTATTTCAGTCAGAGTGATAAAAAGATCCTGGCTGTCGGGGAGAATGGTGTGTTGTGTATTCTCCTCAAGCTCATCCTCCTCCTCCTCATTATCCCCGTCCGCAAAATCCTCAGGCATGGCAGAGAGTACCCCATCATCGGAGTCCATGGACAGGGGTGGGGTAGTGGTGGCCCCCCTCCAGAATTGCATGCAGCTCAGCGTAGAAGCAGCATGCCTGGGGCTCTGTCCCAGAGCATCTGTTTGATTCTTTGGTTTTCTGGTACACTTGTCTGAGCTCCTTAAGTTTCACGCGGCACTGTGTTGCCTCCCTGATGCAGCCTCTGTCCCTCATGGCCTCGGAGATTTTTTGAAATGTTTTGGCATTTCGTCTTTTGGAACGTAGTTCTGATAGCACGGATTCCTCTCCCCATACAGCGATCAGATCCAGTACCTCCTGTTTGGTCCATGCTGGAGCTCTTTTTCGATTCTGGGACTGCTTGGTCACCTCTGCTGATGAGCTCACCTGGCCAAACAGGAAATGAGATTCAAAAGTTCCCAGGGCTTTTCCTGTATACCTGGCCAGTGCATCCGAGTTCAGAGTGCTGTCCAGAGCTATCACAATGGTGCACTGTGGGATAGCTCCCAGAGGCCAATACCTTCGAATTGCATCCACACTAACCCTAATTTGAAACGGTGATGTTGATTTCAGCACTAATCCCCTCATCGGGGAGGAGTACAGAAATCAGTTTTAAGAGCCCTTTATGTTGAAAAAAAGGGCTTCGTTGTGTGGACGGGTGCAGGGTTAATTCGATTTAACGCTGCTAAAGCCGACATAAACTCGTAGTGTAGACCAGGCCTCAGATAATTCCCATTCCTGCATAGATTTATTTCTAGTCTCTGGGAACTGGTGAGTAGTACACAATGGATATCTATCATTTTATCAAGAGCCATCTCTGACCATTTCACAGTGGATTATTCACGAACAATAACACCATGGAAAGCATTAGAATTTGCCATTTTAACTTGAGTTTACTGGGATAACTGGAATGACAAAAATAAGAAACAGTGGGAAACTGCCAAATAGAAAACCTGTGGTACTGCTAAGAAAGCATATTATTTCATAAACAAGGTTAATGTCTTGTCAAATGTCTAGTTGGGAAGATGTATCTAGTGGAGCCCTGCAGAGGTCCATTCTGGGTGAAGTACTATTAATATTTTCATTAATGACTTGGATAATGGAGTGGAGAGTATGCTTATAAAATTTGCTGATAATACCAAGCTCGGAGGGATTGCGAACACTGTGAAGGATAGGTTTAAAATTCCAAATGACCTTGATAAATTAGAGGATTGGTCAGAAATCAACAAAATGAAATTCAATAAAGACAAGTGCAAAGTACTTCGCTTAGGAAGGAAAAATCAAATGCACAGCTACAAAATCATGCATCCGATGAAGTGAGCTGTAGCTCACGAAAGCTTATGCTCAAATAAATTGGTTAGTCTCTAAGGTGCCACAAGTACTCCTTTTCTTTTTACAAAATCAGGAATTACTGTCTGGGTGGTAGTACTGCTGAAAAGGATCTGGGAGTGAGAGTGGATCACAAATTGACTTTCAGTCATCAATGTAATGCAGCTGGAAAAGGGCTAATATGATTCTTGGGTGTATTAACAAGAGTGTTGCAAGTTGGACACAGGGAATAATTGTCCAATTCTACTTGGCATTGGTGAGGCCTCAATGGAGTACTGGGTCCAATTCTGGGCACCATAATTCAGGAAGGATGTGGACAAATTGAAAAGAATTCAGAGGAGAGCAACAAAAATGATAAAAGGTTTAGAACACCTGACATATGCAGAAAGGTTAGAAAAACTGGACATGTTTAGTCTTGAGAAAAGACTGAGGGGATACCTGATAACAGCCTTCCAATATGTTAAGGGCTGGTATAAAGAGGATTGTCATCAATTGTTCTCCATGGTGACTGAAGGTAGAACAATAAGTAATGGGCTTAGTCTGCAGCCAGGGAGATTTTGGTTAGATATTAGGAAAAACTTTAAGGATAGATAAGCTCTGGACTAGGCTTCCAAGGGAGGTCCCCATCTTTTGAAGCTTTTAAAAAAAGTTGGACAAATACCTGTCAAGGATGGTCTAGGTTTATTTTGGTTCTGCCACAGCGCAGGGGGCCTGGACTTGATGACTTCTCAAGGTCCCTTCCAGCCCTACATTTCTATGATTCTTGTTAATGTGTCTGCAGCTGCATGCCATGGGCCCTCAATGGAACAGCGTTTCTGGTGTAGAACATCACTTACACCAGGAAAGAAGGAAGGGGACAGAGAATCTTAGATACTTGCATCATTCATATTCAGATTCTTCAATTCAGGTCTTCCAAACATCATTGCAAATTAGGGAACTCCTTCTTACAGCTGACCAGAGAGTAACAATTCCATTTCACAGCAACTTTCAAGGTTTAGAATTTTGTTTTCATTCCACACTGGGGAGAAAAAAAAAAGAACAAACCTTTGAACAAAAATGGAATGTTTCTTTGTTCTATAGCCTGGTGGTTGGGATGTGGGGGGCCCAGGTTCAAGAGTTTTTCATCCCAGATAATGCCAAATCAGGCAGAGCAGAAACTTGAACTTAGGTCCTCCATGCGAGTGCCCTGACCACCAGCCGACAGTGTCTCTTTCTTGCTCATACAAAGCTTCTTGGTGAAATGTTCATCAAAACAGATATGCCGCTACGAAACATTTCAACTTTGACAAAACAGAATATTTCAGCAATAACAGTTTCTACCTCTCTAGTTCTACCAGACTTCTGGGTTTGTTCTGCCACCCATCACTTCCACATAAGATAGACTGGCAATGCAAAGTCCTTAATGGACTTTTGTAATTTCTGGCTCATCCTCCTTGTCAAGTTATAGAAAAATCTGCTTTTTATCTGGTCTAATTTTACCAGCCATTTATTTCGTTGAATGACTCTTCAAATTATGGAACAGGTGGAAAAGAGTGGACTGGGCAGTTTTCTATGTGACCTTCATAAATTTTAATACCTTAGTTCAGTCCCCTGGCATCACACACCTCTCCAGGTTAAATATTTAGTTTTTGAAATCTCTTGCTCTTTCAGCATTTTATCCACAAAATGTATGTAGACAAATAGGCCAAACATTTTGAACAAAAATCCTACCTAATGCATAGCAAATGACAATCTTATCACTGATAAACCAGGGTAGTAATCCCACCTTGACTGATATGAGTCACAAGAGTCCCACCAGTGCAATTTATATTAGAACAATTTCACAAGTACATAGAGATTATTAATTAGTCACAAAAATTACAGCAAAAAGAATTTCTAAAAGGGACACTTAATATACCAATATCAAATTGGATGTATAACTAGGAGACATGGATCATATCAGGTATTAGAAAGGCCAAAACAACATAATTTATTTATTGCTAGCTACTGAGTCTGCTATGAAAAGTGATATTAACAAACATACAAGTATCACTTTTCACAGCAGACTTACTCAGCCCTGCAAGTCTGGGGACAAATTAAGCCCTGGATGGGAGATCGACGGAGGCAGCAGAAGCCGGGACAATGTGGGGGAAGGTTGGCTGGGGAGGCAGCGGGGGGCTGGCACGTGAAGCCCGTGGGGGGACGGAACTGAAAGCCGCGTGGCCGAAGCCTGGGGCCGGAGCCCAAAGCCCCACACCCAGAGCCTGCCTCCCTGGCACCCTGGGCTGAAGCCCAAAGCCTGAGCCCCACCACCCCTAGAAAGATGGGGAACTCACCGGCTGCCTGCTCCTCCAGCATAGTTCCTCAGGTGTCTCCAGAGGGATGTAGGGCCCAACCCAACCCTAAGCCCCAGCAAAACCAAGGCTGTGCATCCAGGAGCACCAGGGAGGGGGAGGGGCCACTGTGGCCGCATTTGAGAAACGCTGGAAATGTCACAGTGTCTGTCTTTGCCTAGAGTGTTTGACATTTTGAAAGAATGTCGATTACAAACCAGATGTTTTTAAAAAGGGAAAAATTGATGCCATTCTATTACAGGGCTGACCTGATAAGGAACAAAGGACTCTGGGCTTTTCTCCACATCTATTTTCTGGGAAGCCGGCTGGATTCTTGCACATTCTCTCCTCTAGAACCCCTGGGTGCAATTATGCAGTCTGCATTAACTTATGATAGCTTGTCCCACTGCACTGCAGAACTCACTTTAGCTTGGTTTCCCATGGGAAACCTAGATACGTGGGGTAGTAATAATGGGTGAGACTGGACACAGGGCAAAGGGGACAAGCAAAATAAGGGTATGTGGGGATGGAGGTGGGAAATAGAGACCTTGGAATTCCACAAGCGAAAAAATCCCTTGCCACAACAGAAGAGCTCCTAGGATACTGTGGGAGATGTTTCCTTCCCTCTCCTCAGGCTTTTCCTGTATAGGGGGAAAAGTGGGGTCCTTTGTGAGAAATTTACAATAAGAAAATATTAATTGTTGAGTATTTTAGTTTATCCAGAAAATTTGCACACAGGTGATTACAACTCTACTACTAATCAGGAGGTCACATAGTGAGGAAAGAAAATAAATGTTTTCGTGGGCCATGTAAAGTGTAGGTATTTACCAGTTCTGGGGAGTCCTCAGAGGATGATTCTAACCAATTTCATCTGAACGGATGTTATGCTTTATTGTACATATTGGACTGGAAGTGTAAGTGAGATAGAATGAAAATTCCTTGAAGAAGAGGCCCCAATTACCAAGGGTGGTTTTAGCCAATATTAACAAAGAAAGGAATTCACAGACTAGGGACTTCTGTTACATAGGTCCTATAAACATAGGTGCTGGAACTAGGGGTGCTGGAGATGCTGCTGCATCCCTGGCTTGAAGTGGTTTCCATCAAATCCAGGGTTTGCAGTTTGGTCCAATGACTCTCAGCACCCCCACTATACAAATTGTTCCAGCACCCCAACAACCAAATTGTTTATTGGTTGAATAAATAAGGTATAAAAGGCAAGTCTCTTTGAAGGTTCATTGCTAGTGCCTGCCTACCCAATCTGGAGCCAGCCAACAAGGGTGTGAGTGTCCCGGGCCTAGTTTTGTTGTAAGTATCTGATCTCTTCTTTTGACTGCATGTCACTCTATGGGTATGATGATTGCCTAGGCATTTAAGGCATATTTGGAGCAGCAATATAAAGGCCATCTGGTCCTTAGATTTAATAAGGGAATTTATGGTTGAATTGGTGTCATGGTGGTATCCTGTACTAATAATAATATTTCCAACGGGTCTGGATTATAACCACAGATAATTTAAAATTTGCACTACATGAAACCCCAACCCAAGCATTCTCAGGCATGGCTGCCATGACGGTTACTTTATACTAGCCTAAAACATATCCCCAGGGTGGGCTGGTCCTTAGCGTCTCATTCCATCATTTGGGACCTGACATCCTCTGATCTACTCCCCTCTCTTTTAGATATGGGCTGGGTAATGAGCAAGTTGCACCAACGAATCAGCAAAATCCATGTAACACTTTCTCAGCAGGATGCACACTTGCTAACAGGGTGAGGTCTTGCATACAAACACTGCCAACCTTTTGAGAGCTTCAGAGGAAGAGTGTAAATTATTATTATTAAAGGTGTCTGAAAAACAGTTTGGATAAATGTTGCATCTTACCAGTATTCTTAGCAGAAAGAATAGACATGTTAAAAATGAATGTTTCACCCTGACTCCTACGGTGTTTGTGCTCCAATGATTTTATCCCTGAAAACAGAACACAGAATGTTGGAAAAAACTGTAACCATCAAACTGCCTATGAAATTACTACATGCCCTCTTTAAAATTGATTTCTGATTGGAGAATAAATTGCCAAAAAAACTGCTCAGATTAAAATAGAAAAAATGATCATCTATATTAGTGGACATTGTTAACGTGTCCATTTATTAGAAAAGACAAGTTAAATGAAATAAAAATGGTTTGCCCTTAGGTGAAAATTAAACTGAACGTTTGGGAGGAATAGAATAAAGAGGGGTGGTTTTTTTTCTCTCCCGAGATCAATTGCTTTTTCTGCGGACCCACGGTACAAGCCAGGTTGTGCAGTAAAGATCAACTGTGGCTGCAGGGAGGACTCAAATGGATAGATAAATTAATTCACAAAGAAAACTTGAAGTTTTTCGATCAAGTCCAAGCAGAGCCTAAAACTGTTCTTCACTTCTAAGGCAATATAACCCAAATTTAAATACTCATGCACAATCACTTAAACAATTTGATTTATTTTAAAGAAGAATGCAGAAAAATAATATCTGGTATGTCATCATGACAACTAGAAAGTCAGATAGACATTTTACTATATGTGTAAACAAGGAGAAGAAAATGGACTATAGAAGAAAAGGAACTTATTCAAATATACAGTGAACATACTGTAAGAGTACTTCTTCTCATGGATAGAATTTCATTGGGGAATATTAAAGAAGGCAGATAGCAAAATGTTTCCAAAAAGTCATGACATGACTGGACAGATCCTTACTCAAGTAAGAAGTCCCTACTCACACAGCTAGTCTGATTGATTTGAGTGGGAATGTCTGTAGGAGTGAGAATTTCCAGGATCAGGCCCATATACTGAGACAGTGGACCAGATTCTCAGCTGTCCAGAGTTGGGATTCAGCACAAATGAGGAGAGCCTAGGGAGAAAAAGTGAATGTAAGCCACCTTTCTGTGCCACAGACCTTGGTCCTAAGGGCTATTTTAAATTAAATGAGCTGAGTCCAGGGGTCAGGCAGAACGCCATGTGTTCTGCCCCGTACTCTCCTGTCCCCAGCATACAGTTACAGGGAGAGATGGGAGAAGTCAGAGCCATAGAGCTGGCATGGTCACCTGGGGATACCTCTTTCATACAGAAATCTTTTTTAGCTATTTTACACAACATAGCCACATGCCAGCAGAGCGGAGAAGGACACATCATGAAGAAGAAATATGCCACGGTCATGCAGGCCCCAGTCGTGCAATAGGATCCATCTGGGAACCCCATTGATTTCCACTGGAAATTTCACAACATAATTTTTTGCACTGAATGAAACATTTCAGATTTCTTCATCTTTGGATAAAAGAATGGAACTTTGACTAAAATGCTAAGTTTCAGAATTTCAAATTTCAAAAATGTAGAAATCTTTTTTAAAAAATGGTCCTATTTGTGAGTGTTTGTCTTCAAAACTTCAATACTTTTGTGAATATGAATCACTACAAGTATGAAAACATCCGTTTTGGAGGTTCTCAAACCTCATTGTGAATATTTAACAATCTCTTCATTACAATTATGCAGACAGTATAGTAAAACATTAAAAAGAAAGTAATAATGATTTTTCTTCTTCTTTGTAATACTTTAAAAAAAATCACTGAAAGTGGCCATAATCTGGTTTTGGATTTGTTTGCATAACTGCCATTAAAGTGAAATGGGACTCCCATGAGTGTGTGCATCAGAAGCCAGAATATGGCCCAGTATTCACATTGGTGTCTAACCCCACAATGGTCTCTTCTTCTGGGAAAGTGGGAATTTAAAAGGAGACCTTTGGAGTGTTCAAAGCTGTGGTATTTTCTGTACATGTTTAGCTGGTGATATTTAAAGGTATGACAACAAAGAAGAGCCCTTTTTACATTTTTGATGCATATAAGGTTGAATGGCACATCCTCCTTAAAACTTTAAAAATAGAAAGAGATCTAGCTTGCCAGCTGGGTTTCAGTTACTGACAAATGCAAGATAATGTACATTGGAAAGGAATAAAATTTGAATTGCTCACACACACCACAGGGCTCTAAATTAAATGTAACCACTCAGGAAGAGAACTGAGGGATCATGTGTACATCTTGATCAAAATCTCCGCTCGGTGTTCAGCAGTGGTCAAAAAAGCAAACAAAATGTGGGGATGTATAAAGAATGGGTCGGAAGTTGACCTGTGCAAAAAAATTTTAGAAGTAGAGTTTATTTGTCAAAAAATGCTGTTTCAGTCAATCCAAAAATATTCATGAATTTGGCCTGATTAGTTTTGACTGGGAACAATGTTTTCAGGGCCAGCTTCAGAAAACATTTGCCCTGAGATGTGGTAGATCCAGATTTGAATCCTTACTTGGGAGCAAGGATTTGAATTCAAATCCCCCTTGAACTCAAATTCCCAACTGAGCATCCTAACCACCAGGCTATAAAATCTTTGCTATACCTGCATCAGTGTAAGGATTTGAATCCACATCTCTCACCTCCCAGGAGATCAGTTTAATCACCAGGCCATAGAGTCAGGTCAGTCTCACTCTTTGCCCCAAAAAATATTTAAGTATTTGTACAAAGTGGAACAGCTTCAACAGGAGAGATTGAGAGCAACACACTCCAGAATAGCCCATAGCCTGACGGTATCCATCTCACTGCCTCTGTACAGCATGCAAGCCAAGCACCAATCAAGGTTTAAAAGTAGATTAGATATTTATAGGGATACCAAGGACATCCAAAGTTACATTAAATTGGCAAAAAATATAAAAGGGATATGTTCTGGATATGATCCAAACACTAACTCCTTGGGAACCTTGGGAAGAAGTTTCCCTGAGGGACAGGTTATTTCATAATTGCCCACTTAGATTTTGGGGGTTTTTTTTGCACCTTCCTTTGAAGAAACTGATACTGGCCACTCTCAGAAACAGGCTACTGGACTATATGAATGATTGGTCAAATTCAGTATGGCAATTTTTATGTTCTTATCTCTGTTTTTATAATATCCGGAGTATTGACAACATACTAAGAAATATTTCTCATGGAAATAAACACCCTCCATCCACATGACTTATTTCAGTGTTACTGGTGATACAAAAATTAAGATTAATCACTGCTTATCTTCATATCTATATTTCTAATACAAAATAGAGTTGTCTGCAAGTCTCCATATATCTGTCACGCCTCATTGATCTAAATTATACCAGAGGAAAGCTTTCCCCAGGTTTTTCATATAATTATATAACCTTTCTCTGACTGACACCAGCTCTTTTATCTTATCTCTGTAGAGCTGTTGCAGGCTGCAATTATCCCCTCTTGGCTTAGAAACTCAGTGCTGTCGCCACCGGGGTCAAATTAAAAATCCTGCACCTTCAGGACAGCCATGTTTTGTTTAAGATTTTGTCTGCTTACAGGGTTAGAGCAGATTGCCATAGTTCCCTTCATGGAATGAGAAAGAAAGAGAGTGAACCAGGATTATTACCACAATCTCACTGGTCTTACATTCCTGCTGTTTGAACACTGGCTTCGTCTGATAAGCATTCCATTTCAGACATACTGTATTGTAAGCTTTCTGCGGCATGGAATGTTGCTTACTCTATGGGGCCAGATTCACCTACTAGCACAATGATGTGCAAACTGCATTTCCCGGTGCCGACAAGGCCTGTCACATGAGGAACGAGACTCACTCTGGTTCTGTCAGGAAGGGAGCTTTAGTTTCCACTTGGGGTTCACATGCGGAGACTGCCAAAGTGATGTCCTGAATCAGAGCATTATTGGACACCCAAGCCATGCCCTCGTGTCAGCCACCACCTATCTATTTGGTCCCTTGCAGACTGCCCAGTGGAGGGTAGATTGCAATACCTTTACAACATCAGCTTTGTTTATGCTGAAGGACTCAGGGATAAACCATGGGTGAATCCCTCCTTGTATGATTGTTCTGTGTCTGTTTATATCTCTGTGAGTGTTGAGTCAATGTGGGACTCTTTAGCCATTGATCAGGCCTGAGGTTTGAAGTCACTGTTTGGTTATTCATTCCTTATCAGTAAGAGGGCTGTGCCCACCAGTGAGGCTAACTATAAGCACCCATTCAGAAGAACAGTCATTAGCAGACAGACAGCAGAGGCTAATGGAGTTTTTGAAAGAATTTGCAAGAGGGAGCGCTTTTTCTGTAGGTACAGTTCTACACAACCAAATATGATGGCCAGTGATGGAACAGTTATCATTCCTGCATGTGCCATTTTCTCTTTCCTGCCTGAGTGGAGAGACTTCCTGTGCATGAAGCACAAGTACTGAAGTAGAGATCTGTAGTCTCAAAGGACAACTATTGGCCTTGTGGATGTAAGCAGTGTCCGGATGAGCTCCACCCTGACATCTGGTGGTGAGGTGTGGCAAGTTGTGGAAAAGAACTTCAGGGGCCGATCTTATTTGCATAGGCACACCCACCCCGCCTAGAATGAGGCCATAGCTGCCCAAATGGTCACTTTGGCTGCTGTGGGATCCCCAGTATCTCTGTTATTGGGGCAGGAAGAATAAAT